CTTGCCTCCTGCTCACCCTGTCTGCCCTCCCCTTGTGGTTCTGCAATAATAGAACAGCAGCTCCCAGGGGTAGTGGTGGCTCCATTCCAGGGATGTATACAGGGCCAGAAAGGGAGGGAGCAATCCAATTAAGGGAATGGGAGACAGGAAAGAGTGTGGCCTTCTGACCCTAGTGGCCCAGGACGCAGCACCTGCCCTCTGCGTGACAGACACACGAGAAAGTGTGGCATGTGGGCCTCTTTCTTCCCTGGATTTTTCTCTACCTGAGTCAATCATAATTGGCTTGAAATATGGATTAAAGAAAAAATAYGGAAAATGAGATTGAATTATGAAAAGCAAATTCCGAAATCTGTCGAGTGTGATCGGAAGACAATAAATTARGAAGCCYGMGGAGTAGCCAAGTGACACAAAGGAAGAGCCGTGTGCGGGGTCAGGTCTCTGGAGCCTGGGGACCATCCACCCCTTTGGTAGGTGGCAGAGAGAGCGTGTCCYGAGAAAGTGCTGATGCTCCGTGGAGTGGGGTGAGAGCGGAGAGTGTGGCCCTTAAACACACACACAGCCTCTTGGTACTGTCTGCAGTGATGACAGCCAGGCCACCTGGCTCTCACCCAGCTGTGCACGTGGACTGCTCCTGCTCCGCCTGGCCCCAGGCCAGCGGGTACCCCACACCATCTCCAGAACCTGCACGGGGAGTGCTTCCTGCCCAGGGGTGTCTCAGCGGGCGGCAGAGCCCCGCTCCCCAGGAGCAACACACTCTTGATCCTCCAGGTCTATGATTCTAACMTTTGGCTTTTTACAAAATCATTTAACTTCACCGGATCCAGAGGGGGAGAGAGTCATCACTGCCCTGATCGTGGGGGGCAGGGTGGACAGTTGTTTTGTCCAAGTCATTTTGGGTCTTGGTCCATGAAACAGATCGATAAAGAGGTTGTTTTATGATTWTGCACACAATGYGCTGCATCTCAGGTGGGGGAAGAACGTGGCTTACCAYRCGCATCCTTTCCTGCCACGTGACAGAACCCTGCACATCCCAGATGGGATGGAATGGGACAGTGGGAGAGTTCACCAGGACATCTATTCGGAGTGGCACATCGTTTTACCACTGGGGAATTGCTGTTTCTGAAATTTCCCATTTAATATTTTGGGGCTATAATTGATCATTTGTAACTAAAACCATGGAAAGTAAAACAGACAATGGACTCAGACATYACTTACCAAACACAGAGCCCTCTTCCGGAACCCTGGCTGGGCTCGGAAGTTGCCACTGTTTCCCCAAGGTGGACCTAAGGTGGACCGAAGTTC